CAAGATATCAAACTGCTGTAAATGAAATGTAAAATATGAAATATCAGTGCAGGCACAATGAACTGCTATCTACTGCTGGACTTTGTGAAGGAAGATCAATCAAAGGGCTTTTTGAATAGCACAGATGATAACTATCATTGACTTTTCTTGGCTCTTTTTCATCTTTCCCCATCAGATCAATGTTGTATCTTAATAGCCCAGCTAAACATGTATGGCCTGATTTTATATGAGGGCCCAGCACAGATTTTGTAGCATAGATTGCCTATTTTAAAAACAATGGTCTTCTACAGAAACATTAGGATCACAGTGTACCATTCTAAAGTTGTCTTCTTTTTATATTTCCAGCTGTGCCAGATGTGAACATGAAAAATATGTAGTCCTATACCACACATAAAGAATCCAAGGACTTAAAGTTTGCCACTTAATGATTCTTAACCTCCTGTGACCCTGTGTCCTCATATTAGGACATTACAGTTTGAGATTGCTGCACCTTATACTTAAGGTCCATGATCAAGGATCTGTTGTCCTTGATAATGGACACTTTTATATCAGTCAATCAATCAATCAATCAATCAATCAATCATTTGTCACTCGGAATTACACAAGGTACAACTCCGGTAAAATGTGTTCTCATCAGCAGTGATCGACAGCAGGCACAGGACAGCACCTCAGATTCCCATTGTCACACCAGTCCTAATTCTCTGTGAAGCACATGCCTCCTATCCTCTTCTTTATCACCAGAGTCCTCTGCTTTGTCAGATTGGCATATAGAAAAAGAGTCACCTGGTTGACTGGTGCTGTCCAGAATTTAGCCAAGTTTTCAGTGATTCAAAGGATATTACAGTTCCTGATATCCCGCTGCTAACTGAAGCAGCACAGAGGTCAATCACTTTATTTCTTCAATGCCTGTACATTGGCTAGCAGGATGCTTGTTCAGCTGGTGTTATCTTCTCCATCTTTCCCTAGTGTTTACTGATGTTTATATTTAAAAATTTCGACGTGGCTAGCTAGTAGCTAGCTAACAGAAATTGGCAGCAGGTGGGTGTAAAGTCTGGTGAGTTGATTTCTTCATCTCAGTGAGAGACTCACAGCCACCACCATTCAAACCAACTACAAAAAAAACACCATCAAGACTTGCAAAATAGAAATAAGTGCCTAAATTTAGCACAAATTTAGTGGACCTGACAGTGGAGCGAATGGAATCATCTGCACCACATCATGTCAGGTTGCTACAAATAGGTAACCTGGAAATCCAGATGCCCCGCCCCTAGCAAATTTGAATTTGCTCTGCTTGGGAATCTCGCCCCGACGAGCAGAGCCCGCTGAATCGCCATCGAACCAATCAGATCAGTCTATCTGACAGAGGCGGGCTCCGGGCGGGCGTAACATGACAAGGACAGCGCTGCACTGCAGGAGTTGAAAAGTAAACAGCCAAGATGGTAGTTTGATATAGCATACATATTTGACCAATTTTAGCAGCTAAGACAATTAGGATGTACTCATTTGAGGACATTGGGACATTATTACTGTATTATCGCAGCATTTCACACAGACCAATTAGGTGTGACATAATGTTCTTGCAGACAAAAAGTATGTTCCTAGATTGGAGAATGGAGCAAGGAAAAAGCATACCAAGATACAACATGGACAAATCCTTTTAGATATGTTGCATTATTTACAATTTTGTTTTCACACTGCCATATTCAATCATTGAAGTAAACAGGTCTGAACAATTTTAGACTTGAACAGTGACCCCTAAACCTTAGAGTTACAAAACACTGAACAAATGTTGCAATGTTTGTAATTCTGTTTTTGCATAACAGTGTTCAGGCATTGAAAGAAACAGCTTTATACTTTATGACACACTTGTGACTATTAGAAATAAACCCAATGTCCCCATGTGAGGACATCATTTTTTTCCAAAAACGACTTCCTGTTCAAAGTTAGTTAGTTTTTAATACTTACCAGGTCCTTCTAATCTCAAATAGCTAGGAGGAATTAAAAATACATATCGAAAAAAAGCTCGAGACTCAGGAGGTTAAATCATAAGACACATACATTAATGTTTGCTACTGTCTTTAGGAATGTATTTTTTTAAGTAGGCATGGATACCATATCTTTCATGTCTTTTAGGGTCTATGTTATTGTCCTCTTTGTGAATGTTCAATATTATCAGTGTTTGTTATTATGCTACAGCGTGTATTATCCCGTAAAATACCCGTAAAATGTGATGTGATTTAAGCAAGAAAAAAAGTTACACATTCTGACTTCAAATAATACACATGCTTATCCAGCCCGTTGTCATTCTGAAGTCATCAAATACTGTCGCTTTGTCAGTGATTTTGGCATCAAATGCCTGACACCAAAAGTCATCTTTCATGGTTGTATCATACACTGCTGGACAGTGTCAGTTTGTAAAGTAGGCGGACAGAACTTTTCATGGTGGTTGGTTGGCTGGTTGGGCGGTTGGCACCTGTCGCATCAGAATGGCTTGTGGACGGGCAACATCAGCTAATAACATGGTCGTGGTGGATTGATAAGTTGCTAGACAGGGTCAAGTTGAAACACTGCTGGTAATGATGGAATATAAGGAGCTGGAAAGCCCCTATGGGGTGGGCAACAACCCCAGCAACCCCGGACTTTCCCCCAGGAGCCCGGTGTTCACTTCCTGTATGAATGTTGGACCAATCCATGATCATTATGTTTTTTTTAAAACTTAAGCATGTGCTTTTGTTGCCTAAACCTAACCACATGCTTGTGTTGGAGGGCATAGATTGACACACCGTCCCGGAACCAAATTTGCAAATCCTAGGATGGCAAAGGAATGACCCGCCCTACTCTCTATTACAGTGAGGCAAGTACTTGCTGCCTTTGTTGGTTGAGGTAAGAGGAGTAGGACTGGTTAGGGCTAGGGTAAGAATGTCAGAGGCAGAGTAAAGTGCCAATCACACAGAAGCAGCTTGAGGCGTTTTGTTCGTAATTGTTTTTAATAAGAATGAAACTCTTTGCTCGTGTTTTTTGAGTTGCAGTGCGCCTCACATTTCTGCGTTCTAAGCACCTGGTATTTTTACCGGAGCTCCCTGAACTCCTTGAGTTGAAAAAAGTTCAGCTCAAAGCAGATAATGCCCCACGTCATCTCTTTTTTCGTCATCTTTTTTCCCATTGTCCAATCAGATGATTTGAGAGGTGGCAGGTCTTCTGTGGTGGTCACAACGACAAGTTTACAGTTGGTAAACAATGGAGGAGAAACTGGTGGTAGCGGTTGCTGTATACCCAGAGCTATACGGCCAGACGATAGACAGCAGGTTGTTAAACTGCCCCCGGGTCATCCTAAAATATGCCTGGAAACGGCCATCATCAAGGAGAAACTCTTGGACCAACTGGTGGTACTCCCCATGATCCACCCTAATTTTTAGGGTCTCATGTACCCACACAGATCTCCGTTTCCCTGTGCCCAACAGGCTATTTGCTGACAGCCTCTCACCCTCAACCAGAGCTACAGCAAGTACCCCCTGCCTGTCCATTTTAGGAACTAGATACCAATTACTTTCAAATAACTAAAATAAATAAATAAACCATAGATTGATTACACAGCAAGGGTTTATTTTTCACTAGTGGCATTCAATAACCATGTAGTGCAGCATACCTCATGTTTTGCAACCTGTAAAACGCTTTCTGTGTGATCAGGGCCTCAGGTAGGCCATTTCTTTGACATCCTAGGATTCACAAATTTGCATCCTGGGATGACAATCCCTAGCCCGGCAGTGACCAATTGGCAATTGTGATGAGTTGGGATAAGAATGAGTTGGTGTATCCTCACTTCTTTTTCCTCATTTGCTCTGGGAAGAGTTTTATTAGCGAGAATGTCCTTTTAGATGGTGGATCATGACTAAATACAGTCACTGAATCAAGAGGCAAGTGAAGTTCTTGACTGGAGGACGAAGAACAGGGAGACAAGGATGTATAAATAAGAGATGTGCCCCAAGGTGCCCACTTAACCTCCCCTTGCTGTTGAGCACTTTTCTTCTTTTTCTACATTCATGTAACTCTTATAGGATGTACAGCAGTCACCGAGAGGAACCCCTTCACTCTGGTTCCCACTGACCTTTCCCTGATGCTCACTTGAGCAGGAGGATTAATGAGTCCGATCACTGAATCCAAGACATGAGTATTTTGGCCTCATCTGGTGAAGAGACTCAGCCCATATTTCGCTTTCATCCTCATCAGCACATCTGAAACCTTGATGTCAAACATGACGTGACCTCTCGTCTGTGTGGCCATGTTTGGAGTTAACATTCTGGTTTGCATGTTCCCTTGGGTGTGCTTTGGAATAAGCACCTCATAGACAAACACCCCCCACAATATTTTATCCACCCACGCAAGGAGAAAGGCAGAGGGCTTTAATTGAATAGCTTCCTCCCTCAGCGATGAGGAGAGAGATTCAGATTATTGTCCAAGCACACTCTGAAGCTCTTTGCTCACCCAGAGTTGGAACAGTGAGCTTATTGCTTCTCACAAGTTATTGCTTTCCCTCTTATTGTTTGTCCCAGTGCCTCTTGATTACAGCACTGATGGGAATACTAGTGAATAATTTTGGGACAGGCTCTAAAATGTGAACCTGGTCAGCGTGGCTGTCTTTATTATTAGACTATTATTGGGGTCAGAGCTTTATACGTAACAGCCCACTGAGTGAGTCTTTCTGATGAAGTTATTATAAACTTATTATAAACTTATTTTGCTTTCCATCCAGTCCTCCAAGGCCAAATATGCATTGACTTTCACTTTGTCACATTAGCTTTCTCATATTCTTCTCTTGTTTTAACCTATACCTCTTTGCCTCTCTTTCTACCCCACTGTGTCTCTCTCTGCCTCTCTCTCTTTGATGATGGGGGTATTTCTATTCTGTGGGGGCTGTGAGCTCAGCGAGTTTGTTTCTCTGTCTATAATCCCCTCTCTCTGGGCGCCAGCATATAAAAGCGACAAGGGGCCTGGTGCACTCTCACACAGATCACCAGTCTCAGCCCTGAGCCTACTCCTTTACGCACACACTGCCACAGGTAAGACAGTGGACAAACATCATACAGATGAGCAAAGAAAAGACAAGGCAATAGAGAGCAGGAATAACCTGATGTTATAAGTGATAATGAGAAAATTGTTTTGTAGTTTGAGGTCAAGAAAGTCAAACATTGCTGGTGAAATGTGAATTTGTTTTTGCACAAATCCAGTAGCTGTGAATAAATCTCCAATACTCAGAATAAACAGTTTATTCTTAATATAAATTATGCTAAAACCAATACTTAAGTATTGACTAGTGGAACCTAAAATATAACTTTGAAAATCAAGTTAATTTCAGGCTCAGAACTGAAAAAATTTTCAGGCGACCAGCGTTTTATATAAAAAATAAATTGTTTATGTTAGTTATATGCATGTGTTAAAGGATATAGTAGGTGTTTTTGTGATTAGCAACGAATAAACACCTTTAAGTAGGATTTGCTTTTTTTGTTTTGTACCAAAGACTTATTTTGCTGGTGTTCTTTTTGTTGGGAAAAAGTGTAGAGTATAAAGCAGAAAAAGCTACAAGATAATAATTTGTGTGGTAAAGTCTGAACTGAATTCAGCCTTGTTAAGGATGGTGTAACTGTTGCTAGGGGTGGGATCAGGAAAGGTTATTTGTTTTGTTCTTATTGCTGAAGGGAGGATAATTTAAATCTTTAAATATAGTATTGTGTTATCTTACTTTGAGGAATTGTGTTTATTACTTTGAGATGTAGTGGGTAGGCTGCTCAAATTTTCCTCTCAGTAAAGGGGAGGATCCAAAGAAAAATGTTGCCATCACTGCAGCGGGCTTTTGCTTTTGAAAATAAGTGAAACATAATGTTTAATCCCCCTCCCCACCGTAATCATTTCCACACAGTTGCTTAATGTGACAGCTATTGAAAATGGATTCACAGCATCTTCTCTTCTCTTCTCTTCTCTTCTCTTCTCTTCTCTTCTCTTCTCTTCTCTTCTCAGTCATCATGTCTGCTGGAGGAGAAAAATCCAAGTCTGCTTCCCAGACTGATGGGAAGGCGGCTCAGAACAAGATATCTGAGATGGGCATGATGTCCTACAAGGTACAGCACACACACACACACACACACACTACACTCTAACAGATGTTTAAACATCTTCAGATATATCATGAAGCCTGTTTTACAGCATGTGAAGCAGCTGGCCTCTCACACTAACAGTTTCTGGACTGATGTCTATACTATCACATCCTGCTGGTTGTTCCAGCTCAGTGAGGAGGCGGGCGACAACTACAACTAACATAAAAGTACCATGTGAGGCTTCTGTGCGTTCAGGAGGGAGCTGTCAGAGTAACACACTCAGTTTACTTACTCTCCCTCTCTCTTTTTGGTCACATTTTTGTATCTCGTTTCTACTCTCCTCAGACGTTGCCTTTGACTTTAAACCACCTCTGTGACCTCCTTTCTCATTCCCATTGTGTTTCCTTTCCCCCAACTCTCCAGATGTGTGTGTTTGACCAGGAGAACTTCCAGGGCCGCTGCATTGAGATCAACGGAGAGTGTATGAATGTATGTGACATGGGAATGGACAGGGTGCGCTCCCTGCGTGTCGACTGCGGACCGTAAGTAGTCTGTGCATATGCAGCTTCACATACACACCCACCCGCAAGTAATCATACTTCACCCGACACCCACACTCCTCTGAGCACAGAGCAGGTAATTTCAAAATTGTACCTCACCATTATTTGACATTTCACACTTCACATTTGAGGCATGTGGCTGATGCTTTTATCCCGAATGACTGCAGAGAGTGTAGAGGTAGAATTAACTTCAATACCTAAACTCACAACATGACAAAGCAACAAACAGCAATGTTTGACATCAAAGCACAACAGAAATGTCCTGCTGATCATATCAATCACTCATTCATGTGTGTGTGTATCATCATATCGACAACAAACAACATAAATAACATAATAATAAATAAATTTAAACATAAATAAATGAAATAACAATTATGGAGAGGTAAGCAATAGAGAGAATAAAAATACATCACACTTACATAGCACTTTTCTGAGTCCCCAAAGACACTTTACATGGAGTAGGATAAAGAAAAGACGAGCGATCAGCAACCTCAAATGGACTTCCAGGATGACATCAGCAGGGTTATTTTTTTGCTGAGTAGAGTGGAATAAAAAGATCTTCATATGTAACACTCATTCTTGAAAATTGTGGCAAAGCCTTTTTTTCTGGGCTTTTTGATTTTTACTCTTCAATTAGGCTGAAAAATATATATTTCAAAAGATCAAAGTCTTAACTATTAAACCTTGTAATGTAACCTCCCAGTGATTTTTGATAGATTTTTTTTGTAAAATAGCCTACATGATGGATGTCAGAGGTAAGTTCTGACAGAGTTGACGTTTTACAGAGTTGACAAAAGGTTAAATATTTATTAGTTTCACGGCAGTGGTAGTGAGCAGCTATTTTATTTTTCAAAGTTGCGAAGAGATCTTGAAATGCTAACCAGAGTGCTCATCTTTAAACCATAATTCTTATTTAGTTTGGCTTTAGAAGGGCTACAGAATCGACCTGTTATGGTTGAGACACACCAGATAGCAGTATTATTTAATGAATTTATCAAAAAAATAGAAAAATACTAGTACAGAGCAGCAATCCTACCTTTTTGGAGACCAGGAAGTAACACAGGAGTCCCTGCAATAAAGCTAACTCCTTTTATGCCTGATTAAATGATGTTTTTGTAGAAATCTGACAGAGCTGACAACAATCTAGGACACTTCTTTAATTCTAAAACAAAGGTGATTGTAACAGTACATTTTTACACCAATGTTATCAGTATGTACTGTTAGTTTTAGATTTTGGCTATTAACACATTTTAATTATTTGAAGTTGTGAATTCTTGTCGAGGACAAGGCTGTTTTCTGTCACAGGGCAAGTTTAGAAGGTAAGAAGTAAAAGCAGTTCAAAATATTCTATAAATCAGATTTATTGTATACAAATAAAGTCTTTAAAAATAATGTTTCATCCAAGAAACATAATTTGTGCATTAATAAGTTATAACTGACTTTTTTGTAGGACATGATTTGTCTCAATTGTCAAGAATGGCCGGTAATTTAGTGGAGTGCTCCTTTAAAAGGCAATATTATTATTGTCCACCATACTTGGAGCTCATCACCTCTGTCCTTTCTCGTCCTTGTGACTTTTCCTCCCCTCCTCAGCTTCGTTGGCTTTGAGCAGATGAACTTCTGTGGAGAGATGTTCATCCTGGAGAAGGGCGAATACCCCCGCTGGGACTCCTGGAGCAACTGTCAGAAGAATGACTACCTGCTGTCCTTCAGGCCTGTCCGCATGGTAAACCCCCTGTCTGTTTGACCTCTTAGGAAACAAAAGACTTTACTGACTTTGGCAGCTTCTATTGCTCCTCATTTCAACTGCTTTCCTCTCCTTTTCTTTCTCCGGTGTCTTCTAGGACCCAGAGAAGCACAAGATCTGCCTGTATGAGGTTGGAGAGTTCAAGGGTCGCAAGATGGAGATCATGGATGATGATGTCCCCAGCCTGTTTTCCTATGGTTTTACTGACAGAGTGGGCAGCATCATGGTCAGCTGTGGAACGTGAGTGGTGTGACAATATGTTACGAATATTTTTGTTGTCTTCTTTAAAAGAATACACTGAATCACAATGTTTATTTACAATAACTTCCAGGTAGAAAATTCCCATATCACATACATTAAAATCAAATGACGCTGAGAAAACGCTGCCTCAGTTAGTTAGTATTTAGCCACCTCAGTAAAGCCCACAAAAAAATCTGTTTAAATGTGTGCTATATTTACAATACATTCATCACTTTACCTTGACATTAGACAGTCTTTTCCAACGGGTAACTGAAGCCACTGTATCAAAGCCACCAGATTCCAACTGGCAAAAATGGTCATTTTACGTAGCAGAACACTGAGTTGCTGGTTTGCATCGACTGGTTAATGTGTAAGGTAAAGCGGAGCAAATATTGAAATATAGCATACACTTACTCTGATACTGACTCTTTCAGCAGTACATACTTAAGCTTCCGTTCCAGTAGAAATTGTTTATCAAAGATTATCACAAAGCAACAGAGTGAATATAATAAGTACAGCAGAAACGCAGATTGGTCAGATATGGTCACGTCTGGCCCAAAAAACCCAAAATGGTGATGGCTAAAATGCTTAAAACGGGAGTCCACAAACCGATTGGTGACGTCAGAGTGGCAACATCCATTATTTTTTACAGTGTGGCATAAAGACTTTAGAGTGGTTCTGACCTTTTATCATCTACTTCCCAATGGAGCTGTAACTCAGCTATCACAAATGTATCTGCAGCTCCCAATGGTCAAATCATACATTTTTAGCAGTGTTGACTACAAACATTAGCTAAATCCTGCTTTTGCAACAGCTGCATCACAAAGTTCATACTGCTGCATGGGTCTGACAGATTCCACATCATGTCGTCATTCTCAAAATAACAAAAAACAGCAGCATAATCACCAACTATCAGAGAGCTCTGGAAGCGAGTTCAGGAATAGAGGCTTTTTCACCAGCAGCTCGCTGAGGGTGTCATGAACGTCAGCAGCTCGGTGTCTGTCTTTGCTCTCAGAGGTGTGGCAGAGAGCAGACACTGTTTCTTAAATGCCGTGATTACTTCATTTGTCGCACTCCCTGCTGTCTGAAACATCTGTGGTTTGGCATCTGACAGCATGACAAACAGATCGATGTCTTTATTTGCTTGATGTTTATCCTCCCTCTACATCTGTGCTTCAAGCATCTTTCTCTCACATCTTACTCGACTGTTACTCATCTTTCAACCTTGTGTTTTCTCGTCTTAATCAATTTTCTTTTCATTTTCTCTGATCAATCATGCACATTTTCCCTTGTCACTGTCTGTATTTTCATCTTGCAATGTCTCTCCACTTCGAAAATATAAATTCTCTGTCCTCTCCCTCTCCTCTTCCCCCAGCTGGGTGGGTTACCAGTTCCCCGGCTACCGTGGCAGCCAGTACCTGCTGGAGAAGGGCGACTTCAGGCACTTCAACGAGTTTGGCGCCCGCTGCCCCCAGATGCAGTCCATTAGGCGCATCCGTGACATGCAGTGGCACCCACACGGCTGCTACACCATGTCCTCCAAGTGAAACCCAGCGAGGGCGAGGAAGAGAGGGATCGGAGGAGAGTTGGAGGTCGAAGGCGGGCACAGAGATGGAGGGGGAGGCGGTGGAGGGAGGGTGAAGGAGAGGAGGAGGGAGAGGGTGTAATAATTTCTCCTCTGTCCCAAAATCCCTTGGTGGTTTAAATGCAGGATGGAGGGAATACAGCAGGTTGTTATTTTTTAGTTGCTGGAACATTGGAATCTAGTGGGCAATGAAAAGTGAAGGAGGAGATAATAATACGGACTGGCAAGTATCTGATAATAAACGCTCTCTCCATTTTTGTTCTCCCTCTCTGTTTGTCAGCTCCCTTCTCCCCACTTTCCTCTTTCTCCTCCCCTCCCTCCCTCCCTCTCTCCCCCTCACACACTTCTCTTTCACATCTCACCAATTTCAGCCCTCACTCAGCCTCACTGAGGAGGGCATCAGTGTGGATTTGTGTGTGTTTGTGGGATGGGGGATCTGAAACAGAAGAACGCCTCAACAAGAGAAATGTCGGCAAATTGTCTGTGCTCAGATCCTGCAGCCACATCAACCTGTAACCCCAATAAAGCATCTCATATCCTGCTCCACTTGAACTTACATCTTATTTAACAGATACAGCTGCGATATTAATGTCCTACATGCATGGAAAGTAAAGCTAAGAGAGAGTGAGTAATGGATGTACATTCATCAGGTGAACAGAAACATGAGGTGAATACTAATGTTTGAAAATACTTAATAGGCACCTTTGTAATATTAACTTAAGATAATATGTAAGTGCTGTGTTTATGGTTTGTGTCTGCAGCCCCCAAGTGGCTGCATTAAAGGCGTTGAAAAGGAACATCACAGATTTTGCACATCAAAGTCTGCAAATGATTTCTCTCTTCAGTCAGCATTGGTTTGGGCGGAAAGCTACAAATTAGTAAAATAAAAACTAGTCTGGAGATGTGGAGTTAGCTACTGGACCTCTGTGGCCCACTGCTCATCTATGCTGAGGCTACATTAACCGCTATCGGCATAACACACCACAATCTGATTGAACTGTCAGTGCCGACACTCACAAGTCTTTTTTTTTACAAGTCCAAGTCATGTTACAAGTCTTTGAGTAAGAGTCAAAGGCATGTCTAAAATCTTTGGTCACAAGTCCAAGTCATGTCTCAAGTCTTTATTCACAAGTCCATGTCAAGTCTCAAGTCTTTTAGTGAGAGTCAAAGATAGGTCTCAAATCTTTGAGCTAGAGTCAAAGTCCAGTCTAAAGTCTCTGAGCTAGAGTCCAATTTAAGTCTCAAGTCTTTGGGCACAAGTTCAAGTGAAGTCTAAAGTCTTTGAGCCAGAGTCAAAGTAAGGTCTCAAGTCTTGACCTTAAGTCTTGAGGCAACGCAACAGTTGGCTTTCGTCACAGCTAGTGTAGTGGCTACTATCAGTTATAAAGCTGCTAAGAGGCTGAGTCCGGCTCGTTACTGTGACGCGTTCAAAGAATGCATTTTGAAGTTCAATGTTGCGTTTTTATGATGATTTATTAAACAAACATCTGACAAACTAATGCAAATAAAGGTTACAGTCAACAGAAAATATCGGAGCCAACACCCTATTTGTCTAACGAAACCATCATGCCAGTAAATGAACAAGTAAAATAATGTGAAATAATGTGAAATTACCACTGAAAGTTAAAGTGACCAAAATAACGTGCGCAGCCTAACAAATAATAAACAACAGAGGTTAAATGCACATTTTGGCTCCTACAGCTAGTTCTCTGACATTGGTCTGGTGTGTCTGGGCCTTTAAACTGAGATTTAAAGTGATCACAAAGAACTTTCGACTTTTAGCAGCTGAAGGTGAAAACAGCCTTCAAGTGTTGAAGTCACACAAATCACACTGTAAACTCAGGCATGTACAGTAAGTGAGGGAATAATAAGAAAAAATATTTTTGAGTGGAGGGAGAAATTTAAAAATCAGTGGCAAAAAATGTAATCACAATTTCCTCATTTTTGACTGAGCCCATAGACCTTCCAACATGAAATGTTAATAACAGTGACTTCAAACTGAGTTTTTAAGGCCTATAAATCATTGGATTTAGTAATCCATCAGTGCCCAAATTAACAGCTTGTCTTGTTCATTTGAGGAATGTCACATTAGATTTAAGTTGCATTATTACAGGAAAATTTAAAGGTGTGTGACTTCCTGCCAGAGCAATGCCACACTGCTAGTTTGTGAAAAACAGACTCCTGTCATCCTCTTCTCTAAGACACAAATTGCACCTTTATTGTCTGACTTCAAACACTTCAAATAACTTGAAGAATTGACTAGCTCACTGGATTTGGTATTGCTGAAGCACATCTTACGGTAATTTGAGATTTCTACCCACAGTCCACGCACAGTGTGATCCCTCAACATAATGTCTACTGCAGAGACACAGATTGGATTTCAACTGATGGAACAATTTGGACCAACATTGTTAATGTGTGAAAGAAGAAAGCACTCCATCTCCTACTACCACAGCACTCTGCCTAAAACAGCACAGTATGTTTTCAAGCTTTCGTGCATTATTTATCTCTCTCACCAAAGAGAATATTGATGCCTGTAACGTCAGCACCAAAATGGACTTGACCACATTTGAGCATTTACACTTTCTTTTTATAAAACATGTTCAATTATGCAATGCTTACATCTTCCCCTGACACTGATCAAATATTCAAAAACACCAAACTGCATCATTCATTATGTCATCTGCACATTTCCTCTGTGCCATGTGGTTGAGCCACAGTGTGACGTTGGTGAAGATAAGCCTTTTATAGATCAGGGCTTTTAAATGTCTGGGAGTGCTTCAGATCATGCAAATGTAATGAGGCAAGTTTCAGTAAACTGCATTAGAGTATCATTCAATCATTGTTTGCTCAGAAATGATGCATAGTACATTAATATGATTCACTATGTCCTTTCATTTGTTTCTTTTTTTCCCTCTCTGCTGACCAATCCATACACTTTCTATTTAAATCCAACAAAACATGTACACACTCCAATAATTATGAAAAAAACACACCCAAATGTAACACAATGAAACATTTACTCCCACGGTTTCAAATGTGTGTCAGCTCTGCAAAGTGGGTTAAAGTTCATTCACTGGGTGATTCTGTTGTGTACCGTATCCAGATATCCAGTGTTAATGCAGGAAGCAGTTTGATGGTGTTTATAATAACCAAAGATACCAAAGGAAATATAGCCAACAGAGTCTGATGTCTGCATGGAGTTCATTAATGATACAAAAGACAGGGAGTTCTCACCACAAACCTGCACAAGCTGATGCAATCCAACACAGTTCCCCTGCAAAATATTTTCTTTTTGAAGCCTTCACTATTCAGTCATGGTTGATTCTGTGTCAGCAGATGTTGCCAAAGGTGGTTATGTCCCAAACCTGGCAGCATTATCCAGTTGTTTGTTGTTCCAATAGAGCCTAAGTCTTTAAAAGCGGGTTCATGACCCCCAGGAGGTCCACAGAGTTAGTTACTGTATGATAATTTAAGCTATACTTTTATTTTTTCAAAAATTACAATATGTCTGAAAATACACATTAATGTGAATCTAACATATACAAAGACAAATCGGCCTACAAATATAAAAAAAGGCATTTTATTTACAGTATACAACATAAATGACAGGCTAAGTGTTACCCATGAATCCTTGTGCAATCATGTGATCTTGCTAATGTTTAATCACTTTGCTGCAGCCGTCCATAATAGTGATGTGAACGAGTAGAGACTGTTGGTAAACCAAGATGGCCCATGTTAGATTCATTTCCTGCAGTCAATTCAATAAGCTTTACTGGCATGACATTTCATATGTGTTGCCAAAGCACAATTACAATTTAGAATGGAATATAATGGTTAATAAAATTATTAAAGGAACAATTAACAACAATGTATTGATAGAAAATCACAGACATTCATTTTAAAGAAAAAAATGTTAGGTGAAGGAATGAATAAAAAGGCAGAGTGTGAGCTGTGAGGATATGAACCACAGCTGTTATGTGTTGATGTGTTGGTTGTCTCTCAGGCTGTGACATGTACTGAGATATTTTGCTGCATTTATGGCCCTGACAGTATTTTCTCCAAGTAGATAATACATATTAGTCATATTGGTCAGAGAGTGTATCAAAATCTTGGACTTAACATTTAATTTTTGTAAAGAAATTTGTATTCATATGTGCTACATGGTAGCAGGACATGTTGCTCTGTCTCCACTTGCCTCTGACGACAGAGCTGACACAGCCTGTCTTCTGAAGGCAGCCAGATCTGCCTGTGTCTGCCAGTCTCCATGGCCTGGCTGTGATTACTGAGTCTGTAGTCAGTGTCTTTCTCAGTTTCTGATCTGTCACAGCAGTCAGATAGTTTGCCATCTTGTATTATCTGTGTAGGGCCAAATAGCACTGAAGTTTGTTTGGGGTTTCGTGGCAGATGACAAATGGTTGAGGTAGCTGTCTTTTTCTTTAGCTATACTGTAACTTGGCTGGGCTGGATTGTGTGAGGGTTGCCCTGAGGCCATGTGCTATTAGAGGAGGTGAGCCTCAGGACAGCTGGCTGAGAGGACTCCTCTTTATGTTGTCCTCTTGGCAATGGGGAGCCTTATAATGGTAGGAATTGGGGTCACTTGTTTTTAGATGTTTGTAAAATTTGATTGCTCTTTTTTGTATCCTGATTAAAAGGGGGAATTGGCCGAGTTCAGCTCAGCATCCATTGTTGGGGGTGTTCCTGTGGGACAAACACCCAATTGAAGTCTTACACACTGAGATTTGCAAGAGTATACTCAAAGTCTTGATTTACAAGATGACCCCACACTTCACCACCTGTGTCGGTTCGATTATAGATTAGAATATTTCAAACCAGATTCCAAGAGGTATATCAATGTTTGAAGACTTTCTTATAGCATAGAAAGCTCTCCTTCCCTTGTCTCTCAGATCATTAACGGCCAGATTGGAATTTCCTTGTTGAGGTCATTTGTGTCCCAAATACGTGTAGCTGTGTGTGTGTGTTCTATGTCAGCAGAGCCCGGTAGGGAACTGACTGGGTTTCCCTGACACCTGGGTTGTTTCTGAAAGACCATAATTTTAGTCTTTTCCAGATTAACTGTCAGGGCCCAGGTCTGTATCTGTGTCACGTGGGTTTCGCCTGTGAACGTCAGTGCAGTTTATGACCTCTGCCTATTCCCTTTGCCACATAGCTACTTTAGTAAATATCAGACCTATTTTTCTCAAATCTCAAACCTTGGAAACATCCTGATTTTGAAATGACATTTTTTCGGAAGGACAAATCAGGAGAAAATTAACTTCATTTGAGACATGTCTCTGTTATAGCAACACACTCTCACAAAATCTGGTAACAACTGATGTGATCTTACACTAGGTTGATATCAGACATTAAGGTAGCAGATGAAAACAAGTGGGAATATAAGGAACAAACATTGAATTTGTAATGTATATAGTGTAGTATTGTTTTGACTCTGATTTCATCCATCCACACAATTTTTACTGCTCTTCCAAATGAGGTGGGGGGTATACGAGGGAAAGGCGACCATGCCCACTCAGGAGACTGGAAGT